ACAGAAAATTGCCTGACACAAGACTTGGTATACAACGAGAATGAACTTTCTTCTTTCTTTCTCTCTAGGTCTCAGAATACGGTGCTCCCTATGAACGAGCTGTCGTCTCTCCCTCTGCTCACTCGTAGTGGTGACAAACAGCTTCCATGCTACGACCTATGGCTGAGACTTAGGTTTTGGACTCTCTACTTCTTGGATGGATTATATTCATATTTATCAGGTCTTGAAGTCAGTCTGAGCAATCTGTACTTTTCTCTCTAACATCAATGGGTGGTTAGGGGAGGATGGGAGGGCAACAGCTAAACATATCAAAGTCATTGTGGGTGACGGAAACCAGGGAAAACTCTTGGCTGAGCTGATTGAGAAGACATCAATGATGTTCTAAGAACATGCTTCAGTGAAAGAGGGGGATAGTACCCACATGATGGGGTAGAGAGGTGAGTAAAAATGAAGAAAGATATGAGGAGAATGGAGCCAGTGATTTAAATCACTCTTACTCTAGAAGAGAGTCACAACACACAGCAAATGCAGGGTTTTTTGTTGTTGTTTTGTTTTGTTTTTTATGACAAAGGACCCCTGTTTGTTTAAAAGTTGAAAGAGAGAAGCCAGTGGAATAGGAGAAATTAAAGGTGCTAGAAAGGTCGTGAAAATTAAAGGTGCTAGAAAGGAGGGGCTCACTGTGGAAGCAGCTTAGCCGGGAGAAGAAACATCTCTCTCTCTGAACTGGTGGAAAGAATGAGAATAAGAAAGAATTTCCTTATTACTTACTGTCTTCAATTAAGGAGTTTAAATGCCCTTCACAAAAATGCACATGCAAAAGTAAAATATTAGTTATCAACCATGAACCCTCTAATTTAAACCAGCTTTAGAAATCTTTGCGTAATAAACTAGTGATTAAGTATTTATTAGAATATTTATTGTTCACATGCCAAAAAGTTTTGGACTTCTGCCAAATCTCAAATCTCCACAAAGAAGCAAAATTATTTCAAAAACGTTTACATTATATTAAGAACAAAACTTGAACTAAGTGCTAACCTGGCCTTAACATCTTGTAACTCTAGTCTTATTCTACCCAACTGGTCACTATTATCTCTTTTAACAAGAAAGGTGTCCAGCATAGTGGAAAAACATGCACGGAGCACCTGTGTTCAGCACTGTGCTCAGACCTGCTGTGGGGGTGCAGGAAGATTGGGGGGAGAGGAGGAGGAGGAGGAGGAGGAGGGAGAACTGAGCCAGGGCGGCCAGGAGAGCCAGGGCTGTGATGTGCTGCCCAGACTCACAGCAAACACTGCAAACCTAGAGTCTTGGGCCCTCGGAACAGGAGGTTTTATGACACAGCATACACAAAATATTTTATTATTAGTGGAACACTACATATAATACTGAAGAAACAGTTCCTGTCCACGGGAAGGGAAGATCAAAAGAAAAAAAGCCCTCTATCTGCCCTGGCAATATTTTTATTATCCTATAGGTAAAGCAAGGAAGTCCTTTGACTTTTTTTTAAATTGGAATCTGAATTTAAATCTGTGCCACATAAACAAATAACTGAAGGTCCTCTGCTTAAACGCCTCATCAATTTGAAAAAGTCAGACCAAAAATATCTTTTTGCCTGAAGACAGTTGGCTGGACTAGATGCTATTAATACTTTGAAGTTCACTTCAACTGCAAGAGTTGTAGTTTTATGATAAAACCACTCAAATGCATTGAAAATATAATACATTTATTGCCCCTTTTCAAACAAGTCCGTTTTTCTCTTGAATACAGTTAAGGGAAAACTGACTGTAATGTTTTGGCGATTTGGGAAGGGATACCATGGTGTCTATGTCCTCCTGACCACTTTTCTGCACATCCACTTTACCATGAGATCACCTGAGGCCTACAACTTTGTCAGACATTTGGATGTATCTCCCTCGGCATGCATTCCCCATGGGCGCAGTGGAAATTGGTTTGGGGGATGACATGATCTTAGATACTACGTTGCTCTGTGGCCCACCAAAAGGCCTCAGTACATAAACCCATATAAGGTAAATCTGTGGTATTAAAATTTGTTGTGGGTGGGGGAGGATTAGGAAAATAAACCTAAAGAGTCTTGGTGGAGGAGGGGCAATAATAAATTTGGGAAACCCTGCCTCAGGGCAAGGACTCCTTGAGGTTTTAAGATCTGGTGGGCAGGACTCTGAGGCATCAAATACAATCAATTTTTTTTATTTTTTTATTGTTTACTTTTTAATTTCAGGATATTACAGGGGTACAAATGTTTAGGTTACATATACTGCCTTTGCCCTACCTGAGTCAGAGCTTCAAGTGTGTCCATCCCCCAGACAGTGCCCACCACACCCGTTAGGTGTGAATATATCCACCCCCCCCCACCTGCCCGACACTCGATGAATGTTACTATCATATGTGCACATAGGTGTTGATCAATTAGTACCAATTTGAGGGGGAGTGCATGTGGTCCTTGTTTTTCCATTCTTGGGATACTTCACTTAGTAGAATGGGCTCCAGCTCTCATTGTTTCTTATAGCTGAATAGTACTCCATGATATACATATACCACATTTTATGAATCCACTCATGCATTGATGGGCACTTAGATTTTTTCCACATCTTTGCAGTTGTGAACTGTGCTGCTGTAAACAGTCTAGTGCAGATGTCTTTTTTATAGAATGTCTTTTTTTCCTTTGGGTAGATGCCCAGTAATGGGATTGCTGGATCAAATGGTATATCTACTTGTATCTCTTTGAGGCATCTCCATATTACTTTCCACAGAGGTTGTACTAGTTTGCAGTCCTACCAGCAGTGTGTGAGTGTTCCCATCTCTCTGCATCCACGTCAACATTTATTATTTGGAGCTTTTTGATAAGGGCCATTCTCACTGGAGTTAAGTGATATGCAATCACTTTTTAAAAATTCTTAAAAGTTCATCTTTAAAGTGTATCCCCTCCTCATTATTTCTAATCTACCACAGAAAACACTATGCAATGTTTTAAATTTAGACCTTTTTTTTTTTTCAAAATATTAGACAGTATGGAGATTCCTCAAAGAAATAAATGTAGATCCAGCAATCCCACTACTGGATATCTACCCAAAGGAAAAGAAGTCATTTTATCAAAAAGACAACTTCACTCGAATGTTTATCGCAGCACAATTCACAATTGCAAAGATGTGTAATCAACTTAAGTGCCAAATAATTCATGAGTGGATTAAAAGATGTGGTATATGTATACCATGGAGTACTACTTAGCCATACATTTACACATTTTTAAATTCAATACAGTACAGTATATAAAGCTCAATTTATGCAAAAGCTGTTCATGTGACAAAAGGCATATTTAGAAAATGACTCTCTTTTTTGAGGTCCTACTATTTGATATTGCAATCTGGAAGCAAGATCTTGCAGAATGCAGTGCAAGGAACGTTGTTGGGTAGCAGAAAGACCTACATGTCCATCCAGATTTGCTTTGGATTAGCCTTGCCATCAGGGGCAAGTGGCTTAATGCCCCTGAGCCCCAGTTTCCTTACCTGTCAAGCAAGGATACTAATGCCTAACCTTGTGGATTGTTAAAGGATGAGATAACAGATTTCATGTGGCTGGCACTGGCTGTTTCTGAGTTAGGCGATAAGTATGAAGTAAAAAATAATTGGGTAGAAGAGAACAAGGCGCCCAGTGAACCCATTTTGCCAGACTTCACAAACATCCTGTTTGGATTCCTGCTGCTGCCAGTAAAAAAAAAAAAAAAAATCCTTGCACACAGAATGTAGTCCCTGCCAAGTTTAAATAAACTCAAAATGATTATCAGTAGTTTGCGAGGATTCAGGCTTTGCTTCCAATGAAGAGACGTGTGGATGGTCAGAGACACCAGCAAGCAGAAGCATTCCTCCTGCTCCATAAAAATCACCATGATTACTCCTTTAATGAAAAAGTCAGGGACAGGCACCACAGCTGTGATTTTATGAAGGAAAAACAAGCCAGAATTCCTTGTGGTGGGGCTACTGCCACAAGGGGTCAGATCTGGATTATTGGTGGAGGCTGGCATCATCCCTCAGTGACAAAAGCATAACTGGAAATCACATAACTTGAAATAACTCTCAATTGTTTTAGGTGAGAAAAGCTCAAGCAAGAGCAAACCAGACCAGCTAGAGTAAGAGCTTCGATGTCTTTGATCCGAGGCAGAGTTGACTGCCTGGAGCCGGAACAGAAGAAAGATGCTGTTATCTTTGAAGCTCATGCTGGTTGCTCGTTGCCTACTCAACAGATGTGAGCAGTTTAGCTGTCGCCATAAATCAAGGGCTTCCCTCCCCGCAAGGTTATAAATAGGGATGGGTAAATATTTTGGATTCATTAGCCTCTAAGTATTCTTCAGATGTTTTGGGTTCAACCAGATAGAATACATCATGCCAAGTACATTCCCCCTTGATTTTTTAGGACCGTGTGTGATTTATGGGAAATCGAATCCATATGTTTCTGCTTCATTTACACTTAAATCATCAAAAGGTTGTGTGTTGTAAGAGCTATTTGATGTCCAAGATGCCGTCCGAGTGTGTGTGTGTGTGTGTGTGTGTGTGTGTTTAAACATAAGCAGCTTAAAAGTTTGGGTTTCTTTAAAAGAAGAGAGAGAGGAGAGCACGTAGGAAGGCCTGTTCTGCCAAGACGAAATACATCTGAACACCAGGAAGTTCAATTTAGGCTGAAACGACAAGCCCATGAATTTCAAAAGAGTCCAGAATCTGGGAGCAAATGGAGGGTCCTCTCCAGCCGGTTTCAGAAGCGGCTTGGGCAACGCAGAAAAGCAGCTGGCGACCGGCAGCGCACCAGGGAGAGACGGCTGGGAACGCACCATTAGCCCCCGGCTCCCTGCGGCTGCGAGCCCTGTTATCCTTGGGCCTCCTCAGAGCAGTCGCCTCGGCTGGGAGAGAGAACTCTTGGCCGCGTTTCACCGTGGAAATACCAGTTCTCGCGATGTTTGCCTGGGGTCGTGCGCCTGTCGTAGGTCAGCGCTTCCGGTCTGCTCTGCCGCTGGACTTCGTGTGTGCGTTGGGGGTAGTGCTTGTTTATTTACTGGGCAATTTCTTAAATATCGCGTTTAGCTCACAATAAGTTCAGCAGTGCAGGCAGTTTGAGTAAAGCGAGAAGTGTGCTGCACAGGGACACAACGGTCAGTAAAAGTTCACAGGTAAAACTGAGTTGTCATGCCCCCCGTCTCGGTTTAGTCCCTGACATCATTTTAGGCATGCATTATTATTTTATATGGTGTCTTTTAAATGATTTCAGGAGAAAATTAGAACTATTTTATGTGATAGCATAATTGAGATATCTTTAAGTCTCCGTAGAGGATGTATCTGTTCATCTTTAGAGCACTATAGCAGGTTAGGATGTGGAACTTTGTTGTACAGTGGGATCTCCAGACTGTGTGCTCTGAAGTCACTTCAGCAGAATTAACAATCCCAACTCCATTATCTGGGTCTTGAAATATTAGAGGTTGTATGAGTTTTTTTGACCCTTAACTCCAAGGAACACCCGATAAAATATTCCTTAATCTCACCACCTGTATGTAACCGCTGTTAACATTTGGTATGTGTCCACTGAGTTAATGGTGTGTGTGCATTCACATACACACCGAGTTAATGAGATCATACTACTTGTTCTGTTTTGTAGCTTCTATTTTTCATTTAGCAATATATTGTGAAACTTTTCCCATGTTAATAAACTCTTTCATCTCGTAATTTTAACTCTTGCAGAGTATTTTATTGTACCACCATTATCTTAATATCCCAGAGTATTTTTAAATATGAAGTGTAAAAAGTTATTATTTCAGATATATTTTTAAATGTTGACCTTAGTTTTAAAAAGTGTTTTCTATATCTTAGGACACGTTAGAAAAATAAACGAAGCTTAGAGTCTATATCTTGTAGTTTCTTACATTTTAGACCAAAGTATAGAACACTCTTTGAGAATCAGGAAGAATATTCATCTCCCTGTTTTAGAAGAGACCAAACTCTTCCATTTAGATGATAACTTCGAAAGTCCCTAGAAAAGATCAGTAAGATAATCAGTAAATATTCTTTTCTTCCTTAAAAAATAGTTGAGTTTCCACATCAAAAGAGCCTTGCAACTTCAATTAACCTGCCTCTCCTTGTTGGATACTCAGTCCATTGGTAAAATTCCTGGAATCAGTTTAAAAAACAGCGGAGGTCCATGTCTATTTTTGCTGTCTGTTTCTGAGTTCCTTCTCCCCTTGTTTTGGATTTTCCCAGTCAGTTACTAGCCAACTCAGTCTGGTCCCTTTTGTTGACAGGTTGCCAGGATACATCCAGGCGACAAAGGCTGAGGTTCCTGTTACCCAGCAGCTTCATATACGAATACCAACACCTGCAAGAGGGGATGTGAATCTTGGAGCTTCCAGCTGTTCTGCCCCTGTTTCCACCAGCCCCCTTCTTCAATGCTCAGACGCACTCAGAATGCCATGATTAAAATAGAAAGGCAAAGAACGGAACAAATGATACAAGATAAGGCTCCCAGAAGGTATGCTCTTTTGTCTGGTAACTCTTTTTTTTGTTTGTTTGTTTTTGTTTTTGTTTTTTTTGTTTTTTCTTTTCTTGTGGACGAGGTTCTGGGGCCCCAAGAGAGGGGGGCTCCAGAAGTCAGCCTGTCTGGTAACTCTTAAATCTCAAGTCTTTCCTTTCAACTAATAACGACTGCTTATTTTACATATTTTTGGTCTCTTCTACTTCCTTCTCACTGGTATGCAGTAAATATTTCCTTGCTATAGAAAATAAATCCAAGGAAAAATAATGAGTCCTTCAGTAAAAAACCTCAAGTACTACTAAGAAAAGTAGTAAATATCATTTTACATCATTGGATGATGCTGGCAATGATGAGTGAACTATGAATTAAATGTTCTAATAGCTAAAAGATAATCAATTTCCATGTAAAGGGATGATTTTTAAAATAATTTTCTTCAAAGAAAAGTAGATAAAGTAGGTTTTTAACATTAATTCATTATGTATTTATTAACCAGATTATCCATGAAAAAAAGGGGCGATTAAAGACTATAATTACTCAATTGACTTGGCTAGGTATTTTTTTTTTTTTTTGGTTGTTTGTTTTAATAATTGGGATAAAATCTACAAGGAGTAAAATGTAATCAATTTAGAGTTCTTAAATTCAAGTTTCTAAAATCAATGAGTTTAATAGATGTATACCATGTAACTATCACCTCAGTCAGGGTATAGGACATTTTTATCACTCCACAGTGTCCTCACTTCCTTTCCAGCCAGTCTTCCCTCCATTGGTAACTGTAATTCTGATTTCTATCACCAAAGAGTAGTTTAGCCATTCATAAACTTTGTGAATAGAATCATACAATGCATATTCTTATATCTGAATAGACTCAGCAGAATGTTTTTCAAATTTTTCCATGTTGCTTTGTATATCTGTAGTTCATCTCTTTTCACAGGTAAGTATAATTGCATTACCTGATTATTTCACATTTGTTTATCTATTCTATTGATTGGTATTTGGTTTGTTTCTAGTTTGGATCTTCTATAACTAAAGTGGCTATAAACTTGCACAAGTCTTTTTTCCACCAATATTTTTTATTTTAAATTTTTTCCATTTAAGTATTTAGGTATGATTGACAAATAAAAATTGTATTTATTTAGCGTGCACAATGAGATGCTTTGATATATGTATATATACATTGTGAAATGTTACCACAGTCAACCTAATTAAAATATTCATCACCTTACATAGTTACCTTTTATTTTTGGTATGAAAACACTTGAATTCTACTATATTAGCAAATTTAAAGTATAAAATACATTATTATTAACTATAGACACCATGCTGTACATTAGGTTGTTAGTACTTATTCATCTCATGGCTGACAGTTTATACCTTTGGACCAATATCTTCCCATCATACTCCCATCCTCCAGCCCCTTCTACTCAAATTCTACTCCCATTCTACTCAAATGGCCAACAGGTATGTGAAAAGATGTTCAACATCACTATAGTATGTGCAAACAAAAACCACACCTGTTAGAATGGTTATTATCAAAAAGATGAATGATAACAAGTGTTGGCAAGGATGAGGAGAAAAGAGAACCCTTGTACACTGTTGATGGGAAGATAAATTGGTACAGCCATTATGGAAAACAGAATCAAGTTTCCTCAAAAGTTAAACATAGAACTATCAAATGATCCAGCAACCCCACTTCTGAGTATATATCCGAAGGAAATGAAATCAGTGTGTCAAAGAAATATCTGCATTACCTTGTACGTTACAGCATTATTTGCAATAGCCAAGGTAATGGAAATGACTTAAGTGTCCATTGATAGATGAATGGATAAAGAAAATGTGGTATATACAAAAAATGGAATATTATTAAACCTTAAAAATAAAAAAAAATTCTGCCATTTCCAACAAGCTGGATGAACCTGGAGGATATTATGCTAAGTGAAATAAGCCAGAAATAGAAAGATAAAAACTTATGATCTCGTTTATATGTAGAATCTAAAACAAATCTGCATAAGTCTTATGTTTTCATTTATTCTGAATTCAGAACTAGGAGTGAAATTGATGGATAATATGGTAGATATTTATAATGAGTAGGAAATGATATGTCACTAGGATCATAATATGCATTTCCCTGATGACTAATGAAGTTGAGCACTTTTACATGGGCTTGTTGGAGATTTGTATCTCTTTTTAATGATCTGTTCACATCTTTTGTCCATTTAAAATATTTCCCATTTTATATCTTCTTTACTGATATATAATCCACACACAATAAAATGCACCCATTTTAAGCATATAATATGATGAGTTTTGACAAATGATTACATTCATGTAACCACCAATGGTATCAATGTAAGAACCCATCCATTGAACTTTTTAGTCAATTCTCCACCTACTCACCTACCCACCAAGTAATCATTGATGTACTTTCCATCATTACAGATTAGTTTGCCTATTCTAGGGTTTCATATAAATGGAATGATTCAGTTTATTCTCTTTTGTACCTGAATTTTTGAGCATCATGTTTTCAGAGGGATCCATGTTATGTATATCAATAGTTTGTTCATTGTTATTATGGAGCAATAGTCTATTGTACAGATATGCCATTATTTTTAATCCATTTATTTGTTGATGTATATTTGGGTTGTTTCCAATTTTTCACTACTATGAGTAAAGCTTCTGTAAACATTTGTATGTGACTTGTTATGGACATATACTCTCATTTCTCTTAGGTAATTATTTAGAATGCCAATACCATTTGAGTAGGTATAGGTTTAACTGTATGAGAAACTACTAAACGGTTTTCCAAAGTGGTTCTCACATTTCACATTCCCACCAGGCATGTATGACAGTTCCAGTGTTTCCATGTCTTCCAGTTTATGGGCAGTATTTTAAATTTAGGCCTTCTAATGTGCGTGTCTGGTGGTATGTCTGTAATTTTTATTTGCATTTTCCTGATGACTAACAACTAATAATGCTTCCTAATCTGTAGCTTATCTTTTAATTTCTTAATAGTGTTTATAATGAGCAGAAGTTTCTAACTTAGAGGAAGTATAATTCATTATATTTTTCTTTTTTATTTAATGTTTTTGTGTTATTTATTAAATCTTTGAAAATATTTTCCTTTGCTTTCTTCTAGAAGCTTTATAGTTTTTGCTTTATATTTAGTTCTATGATCTGTCTTGAGTTAATTTTTGTGTGTGGTGAAAGTAGGGAATTGATATTAATTTTCTCCCTATATGTATGTGCCTGTTTCACTATCATTTTGGAAAAATATTTTCCTGTCTTCATTAAATTGTCTTAACATCTTTGTCAACAATGAATTGACCACCTATATGAATTGACCGTATATTTTTGGACTTTCTGTTTTGTTACATGGATCTATTTGTCTATCCTTATTGGCATCATTAATTTTAATAAGCCAACTTATCTTGGCTTGTAGGTATTTAAGCAGCCATTCAAAATAAATATGAAAGTTAAGATCGTCCAGGACAGCTTGCCAGTGGAACTATACACAAGAATTAGAATCAGGTTGGGCATTCATTCCTGCATGTTGCTCAGATATTTCCCTAGCCAGTAACCTGATTTTAAATGATTTGTAATAAGCAAAAGCCAAAAATATAGTTATGAATTTATTCAAGAATCATAATCCCAGTAAAAAATATATTTTTCAAACTCATGTGAATGTGACTTGAACTTAATTTTCATTTATTCATTCATTTGATAATTTGAGTGTCTGCTGTATTCCAGGCACTGTTCTAGAGATGGGAAAAGAAGAGGAGAATATTTATTTGTTCACAATTTCTGCAAGAAAACATTATGTATGACATCTAACCTGCTGCCTATTTAATAATGTATTTCTCACAATTACACAAAAAATCTATACCTGGTAAAATAAACATCAGATTAACTGTCTTCACATATTCCTATGAATTGATAGAAATGATCAATACTCAAATGTTTACTAAGGCTGGGAGAAATATTTCCCAGCCTTTCCAAATTTTGCTATTACTGCCATAAAATATCCATTTCTTTTGAGCCTGAAAATGTATCATTTCTGTCAGTTACATTTTCCAGATTATTTAAGAATTTGAATCTTATATATTATTTCTAAGAGAAATTTATTATTACACAAACTAGACCTTACTGTGGCTTTTTCTTTTTTTTCTGAGTCTACATAATTTAAATGAATATGTAATTTGTGTTAAGTCATTTTCTCAGATTCTGGTGAATGATACATTTTCAAGAGCATATGCAATTCTAGAAGTAAGTTGTAAATGGTGGAGAATGTGAACAGTTCCAGAAACCCTTCCTGAGGGAGCAGTGATGTTTCCTGTGGAGTCTTATAAACATAGAGAAGCATTTTCTAAATATCACAGCACACAAGTGTGGCAATAGGGACGCACTGTGTTGGGCACAACAGAAAGGGAGAATGTAAAGGAGGTAAATTGTTAACAGGCTAAAAGTGACAACAAACAGCAAATAGCATGTGCAGGGTATAATGCAGCCAAGCATTTGTTTGAGAGGAGACAGAGAAGCCTGATGGAATTCTGTACAAGCAAAACTTGGTAGGATTCTGGTTGTGTTGAGTGCTGTTTTATAAATTCACATTGACTAATAATTAGGTGTTTCACTGTTAAAATGAAGTCTCACTTGTAAGTTATAGTGCAAGGGTTAGAATTTTTTCTTATCTGTGTCCAGATAGTAAGTAGTTTTAGGCCTTTTAGGTCATATATTCTGCTATTGTAGGAAAAAATTGGTCAAACACTAATACATAAATGATTAAGTGTGGCTGTGTTCCAATAAAACTTTATTTATAAAAAGAAATGGACAGCTGGTCACATTTGGCCTGTGGGCCATGGTTTGTTAGCCTTTTTCTAATGTTCAAGGAATTCTGATGAAATACCTTCCAAAAATCATACAATGATATTTAAAAGCCTGTGGCCTTAAAACTGTTCTTCCTCTGAGTTTCTGGTACTTTCAGGCTCTTGTTCAGAAGAGAT